GTTACGTAAACTACTATATCTGTGCAGTGACTGGAAGATTGTAAAGCCCTCGAAGAGTAGCGCTCTGACCTCGCTCAGATAGAACTCGTGTTGCTTAAATGAAATACCTTCCTGCCTGCGAAATGAAGGAAGGAGTTAAGAAGGTAGGATTCGCTACGGTTTGGTTGATCGGAAATCTTGTATTCATTATTACTTCACCAACTGTTTATTAATTTCCGAGTTATTGAGATGATATTCCGAATTCACAGGAAGAGTGATTCCGTCTTTCAGTAGTTTACTATAATTACTAGTATTTTCACTATTATTATTATTATTATTATTATTATTATTATTATTATTATTATTATTATTATTATTATTATTATTATTTCTGATTCTATTAATTTCTATTTCAATTTTATCAATAACTTTCTTATATTTAATCCTAGCTCTACCTGCAACATTGTTTGCTTAGAGTCTTGAATTAAATTAAAGAGGTTAAGAAACAAAAGTAGACATAAAGTGTGATAATAATTATTTTACAATCTTTTACATTGATATTTAAATGAAATTCACAGTAAAGATTCTTTATACACAATGTTTTTGGTTTTACATTCAAAGCAAAAACCAATACTTTTGGGAATTCAACACTCAAGGGCATACTACGAATACCTGTTACTAAAACAATTTTTATACAAATCTACACCTACTTTCAAAAAAACCAAGCCTCTTTGCTTTGATAATTTTCATTGAAAAACACAATTTATCGGTAATCTGAAGTCTCTAGAAATAATATTGGTAGTATCTGAGTATTACTTAAATTCTTTTAAAACTGTTTCTCCTTTTTCGCAGCCGGCAAGAATAACAGCTTTACTCAATATATTCGTAGCAATGCCGTGACTATTATAAGGATTCTTCCACAATGTCAGGTTTACAATTCAAAGTAATAAAAACGAAACTCCGATTTTTGGCTGTATATTAGAGACTCAATTACACTAATATTGTTTAAAAATTCTATTCGATATTGGATTGCTTCGCTTGGCTATACATTGCAACTATATGTAACAACCACTTATTATGACATCTCATTATGTCTACAGGAATTTTGAAGAATTTTTGCATTAAAATCAAATCACTTATTTGATACTTCATTGCTAAAATTGACCTCTTACACAATCATTTGGCATTTTCGACGGATAATAGAGAGCCTATTTGATAATGCACCTGCCCCTGTATGTGATACTTGCCTTTAATTGTCTGGCATCAAAAGATGTCGTTTCGGAAAAATTTACAAAACCTGTACGAATTTAATTCTGAAAAGAGAGCTATAGATAAGATTTCGCGTAACCTGCATGTGTTCGTATGTCCGTAACTATTAATTTGCCGTATGCTTCGAGATTATTGTAATAAAAATATTATATTAATTATATAGTTCGTAGCAGTTCAATGTTTTTAGTCGATTGCGGCTATATTATTGATATTACTAGATCAGAACAAATCAATAGGAAATAAAGCAGATCTTCATTGCCACGTACTCTAGATGATTTTCGAGTATTTCTTTCTCGACATGACTTGAAGTCTTTGTGTCAGGCTTCCTGCCTGTTTGGACAGGTATACTATTGCGACAATCATTACATAAATGACATCAGCGCCATGAATTAATATTTAATATTAATAATTATTGTTTTGTGCTCTTACAGGCGTGAAGAACCCATACAAATAAATTGACATAAACGTTGGCATTTCAAATGCGTTTTTCTGAAAGCTTCCGTAGTCCATCATATCCGCTCCTCATTGCTTGTAAAACAACAAAGCAGAGTTGAATGAAACTTTCATCTATCCCAATGATGTTAGCATATATCTCCAGATTTTGAAAAATTTGCCGAAGTGTTATCATTGTTCGTTGTACCACTTCCTTCTTTTGGGATGTCTATAAGGAGTCTCATTTTCTTTTGAAATTTGAATATTATTTGCATTTTCCTGGGATCTTACTGTACTTTTCTTCTTATCTTCGTACTTCGTATTAGTTTTATAAAATACGGTCTGTAAGAAATGCGAAGAAGTCACTCACAAAACGAATTTGAGCGCAATAAACCAACATTAAAACCTTCCCTACGACAAGGTTTTTTTAATTTGTTTTAGATTCGTCATTTGTTCGGAATTGCATCACAAATAAAACACTTCTGAGAGTAGACTTAGACATAAGTGAATTACACACTTTTCTCCATAGATTTCACCAATTTGTAATATACAGAGTAATCTGCGCACCCAATATTCAATTTTGTTGTTGAAGCTGCTTAATGTTTTCGTCCAAACGAGCTATTTCAGCATATGTCGTATGTGGCGTCACCTTCACAAATTCGAATTCAATGGGTCTGTAAAATCTCGCTGTACTTTTCGCCTTTTTGTTCTCTTCTAACATGAAGAGAAATCTTTTTCAGGTCTACTTTTCGTCGTTTTCTGCGCTTCTTCCTTGACTCCCACCATTTCGTTGCCCAGTCATGCTGGTTTCCTGCCCGCGAATATGTGTACGGTTCTGTTTCAAGCTTTCCATTTGTCAACATTTTGGCAGGTGAACCACCAATTCTTCTCACTTTATAGTGCCTCTGGAAAACTTCCAAGAACATTACGGGAAATATTATATATTACATTTTTCTATTCTAGATATCTGTTGCATGAGAGAGTTCACCTCAACCAAGAGCTCAAATAGCACCCATCATGTGACTGTACAAGCATTTGAAAAAATCGATTTTTTGGAAAGGGGCACATTCGGTCAAACATGTTTTCCACCACATTTTTCATAAGCTTTAGGAAATATAATCAGGCAAAGACCATTCTTGGCAATTGCTGGTAACTCAAGATAACTCAGTTTAAACTTACAATCACTAAGAAAGCGAGCTCAAATACATGGTAATATTTCGCGTATGAAATACAACCAAAAAAGTAAAATTTTCTATTTAACGTTAGGACAATCTAAATAAAATATCTTACACATTTTCTACCATCTCGAACAATCAAGTTATCCTAAACAATGCAGTGGCAGTGGACAATATCACCAAGCGCGTCAAAGCAGGTCTTAGGCACGACGGCGCGCGCGGCTCGGAAGCACTCGCTGACCAGACCATGGGGAGACCACACCTCCCCATTCTTCTGATAAATAAATGTTGCACTTATGCGCACTGGTACATTCCTGGCAAGAATATAAGGAACCCGCCCACGTATACTTTGATTCGTTTCGAGAACATGCATTTTTGATTTAAATACCGCTAGGTTCTGGAAATCAACCACTGTGTGTCGGTGCTTCTACAATACTTTTCACAAAATGTAGGCTATTCCAAATAAAGCAATGTCTTGGTCTTCCAAGTATTTTGAATGACATGCGAGTTCAGCACAGTTTTATACAAATTTAGAGGAACAAATACCAAAGCTTCTATAACGATCTAGATGAACTGAACATTCACATTCCACATTCGTCTAAGCTCGATTTCCTAGCTCTTGTATTTCGGAAGTTTCTCTTCGAACTTGGTTACGACGACGCACGGCACACCCACCTCTACATCCTTTATGTACTACACATTTTTAGGCCTCTGGAACCCTGCTGTTCGGGTTGGCAGTTTTCCGTGGTTTCTCCGAACAATTCCAGATGAATGCAGAATAGGTATCTTTACAGTTGAAGAGATAACAACTTGCCCAGTCGTTAAATGCCATGCGAGTGGATAGGATTATGCGCTATGCAATAGTTATCATGTCTGCGAATTCCCTGGACTCTGCGCATCACGAACACATACGTAAATAATGCCATTTGTTGCGTTTTTCCCACTCGTTTTAAGATTTCTAGTACGATACTCAGTTTCTAGTTTCGAGACGTTCCCCAAACCATGCGTTTGGATTTCTACAATTTCTATCTGTGTGTTTCCAGTCAATCCTCAAACTACATTGAGAGATTCCTATCTCGCCGGGTCTAAACCAACGTCAGAAAGATATTTGACTTCAATATGCTGCCTGACGTCGACCCGTTCCAGCATCTGTCATCTTACCGACATTTATAAGGTCCTTGCTAGATGCTCAAACGCAATTTGCTTCGCGTTTCTGTTACTTCCAGCTCTAATCGGTCCATATAAAATTGCGGGCGGAAAGAGCAAAGAAAAAATATTCAGACGATTAAGCATCTACTAGTGACGTAGTGTAATTACGCGATTGCAACAACCGGCACACGGCGACAAAGCAGTCGCTCCATAACGAGGGTCGCAGAGCTGGCCGCGAACCGACGAATCAAATTTCTCCGCTCCGGGAGCAATACAAGGTTACACCTCTGTAACCACATTCATATCCTAAGGGGCAGGTGCAAAGTGTTGTGGTGGTACGAGTGCGCATACCATAATGCCGCACCACATCCCTCACTTGCGCTCTGCGCCCTTAATACCAAACTATCAACCATAATACTTCGCACGCCACTAATACTCGTCATACATGACCTTTTACCAGAAGCAGCACACTTCGCTTCAGTTTCCTGTACTATGCACAGCACATTCCTACGCGCGCAAGACATTTACACTTTTGCATTCCTTCTTGCCTACAATATACGTCGATATATCGACTTCCGAATACTCTGTATGCAATTTGTTGCGTCTGGCAATGAGAGGAAATCCCAAGGCTACCTTCCAACCGCCACACTTCAAACAGCCACGCAACATGAAACATTTTAGTTACAAGCCTAACAAGTTACTACATGTTAATTCACCAAAGAAACAAGAATCTAAGCAAGCACAAAAGCGTTCCGAGTAAAGCAATTAAAAATCATCCACAAATTGGAAAATCCATTCATATACTAGATTACCTAACTCCATCCACGGTTTACTTCTCACAGAAACACTCAAATGAGTACATAAACAAAAAAGTATGGCCACTAATTGCTGGGGGAGTTTTCCATCTCGCGCCTTGCGTTCTGCCTGCAGAGGCCGTCTACTCGAGCTGAGAGCTCCAGCGAAAAAACTGGGGGACCCGCAACCCATATCCCTCGCTTACCACAGAAGTGCCACTGGTATCATACGTGGTCCCCTGTGCACTTCCCAAGAGTTCTCAATGCAGCCGGGGCGGTAAGGAAGATCGTTGTCTAATGCCAGAAGGATAGAGGCACAACACAGAATTTGCCTGAAATTAAAAAAAATATAATGACTTACATTATGTTTAGAAAATTGTATTATAAAATATCTTGACCCCTGCTAGCTCTGCACAATATCACGACTGCTTCAAAAATTATTTCATCTAATCACAATTTATTTCACTAAATTTTGTGTGAAAAATAGAACAAAGTAAAAGTTCCTTGAATGAAAATGTATGTTATTTATCTTTACAGTAAATATAAGGATCATTACGTTCTACTATTAGATTTTCCAAGAGCTGTAGGCGAGTATGTAATTATCAACGCTTAGAAAGATTTTAGTCACGTGCAATAACGACACACATTAGCCTATCTCGTGATATTTATTATTGGCACAATTATATTAAATCTACTTAATGAATCTTGAAATATAATGCAATATTTACATTTACAATCACTAAGGGTTTGATTTTAGTGAAAGTGCTAATGAGTGGCGCGGTAATAGAACTAAGTAACGGATTTCTTTAACATTTCTTTAACTAGTATCAGTTTTCTTTAACATTAAAAAAAATGTTTTTTGCTTAAGTCTAATATACGGTAAAACTTCGAATTCGTTTAAACCGGCACTCTATGCGCTCAGGCAGTAACTGCGCAGTTTTGAATCTAGAGACTTCTTGAAAAGGTTTTACTTATGCAAGATTAATTTGTAATTATGCGGTGGATAGACTCAAGGATGTTATAGTGAACGCGAAGCGAAGGCCGAGTCTCGCCGTGGCTTGGATCGGCGAGCGAAGCAAGAAAACTGCCGTTGAAAGCAATTGGCATTACAATGCGACGGCCACAAAGCAGATGAAGGACGAGCCAAGAAAGGTTTCATTCCGTAAATTTTATTAATTTCTATCAGAGAGTAGAATATTTTAAATGGAGGGCTTAAGAGACCCCTCCTCCCCGCTACACATTTCTTAGAGTGTACCCTGTACCTTAATTTACCAAAACTTCGTTATTACATAAACAAGATTTTGTAAGTACGGAAAGAATAAAGTTAAAAAGTATCTTTGGGGTCATTTAAGACCCCCTTTAACGTTGCACGTCTGAATATCACGAATAATAAAGAATATTAATTATAGTATCCCCTGCAGATAACCTACCATACATCTTAGTCTGAGAAAATTTAAATTTAAATTTTGAAAAAATTCTCAGTTACCACATTATGGTTAGATTAAAACGTTTTCTTTGTATTAAAAAGATGATATTTAATAGTGAAAAATCATGAAATTCTAAACTTTCGGAACCAATTTTAACAGAGACCAGGAACATTTAATCATGAAGACGAACCTAATGTATCCACGATTCTATCTGCGCCATTATCTTTATGACTCTTTTGCAAGACGTGAAGAAGGGTTGGTTATTTCGTCACAGTACAAATGAAGCTAGGTTGCAAACTGTTTCTTTACACGAATGCAGACTTGTTATCTATTATGAAACCTTCGTAGTTTCCATTTATTCATAATCCAACTAACCGGTCGTGAAAGGAAAGTGAAAAAAATCTCGCTCAAAAACTTCCGCCAGACAGTAAAAATTTTGAGAAGTCAACTTCTAATTTTCAGAAAACTCCTTTAAAGGTCAAGGAATATAACCAGCGCGTCCTTGGGAGCACGCCCAACGTTTCATCTATACGCGAAGAACAAAATATTTTCAACTCTTTCCGAAAGAGCTAAGGAAGGGTTTCTTGCACGAAACAAATTAAAATAGTTTTCAAGCATACTCCAAGTTCTACGAATTTGTCGAGGTAAAAATGCTGCTCTAAAACCACATATTTAAACTATTACTGTACGTTCATATTTACGTATATAGAGTATACAAGTATTATACACTAATGTAACTACCTACCATCTTAGTAATTAGAATTCAGGCTAAGATTAAATCTTAGAAATCATAAATTCAGGAAAATTCAAGTCATGAAGATTTAAATACAGTTGTTTTCTCACATTTCAACTGAAATATTTCCTTAATAACTAAAACTATACTGCTTACCTTTAATCAATTTATTGCACCTTGTAATTTTTTCCCCACACTAAATCTGCGCAAATACCGATTGGCACTTAAAACACGCGTTGAACACATTCGTTTGCTAACTACTCATCATTGTGGAGCAGTCTTGCTCCCATTCCCCTTTCGTAGACCTCATTTTTGCTGTTCACGTGGCTTAACAAATCTAATGATACGATGAGTTTGATCGTTTAGCGGAGGATGTCAAGTTCACAGAAAAGTTACTCTTCTCAGACAAGAGGACAATATTTAGGTGATTAAACGGAATGCGTAGAACAAAAGGCAACTATTTTTACGAAGCACATTGTAGAACAATGCTCATTTGACAAAGACCTCACGAAGTCAGGTCTAACTTTTCACACTTTAATTTTACAAATGTCTTAATAGTTACAAGTTTTACTTATTTTTTCGCTAGCTACTTGCGTAAACCTCACTTCATGGTATATTACCCGAAAATATATTTTATAAAGACTATCCACTCATGTAGGTGCACCAAGATCATCAAACTTAAGAAATCGCGAATACGATTTACAACTTTTGGAATTTCAGAATATATCACAGAATGGAATAAAATACATAAGAAAAACTTAATGAGAGGCTTACCTTCAGACATTCCGGGAACACCTCGCACTCCACACTCAACACGTCTCAGAATCGCCTTACCCTGGTTCTGCCCCGGTCGCGACTCGCCACCCGAAACAGTAAATGCATTCTGCGCAGTAGTCTGCAAAATGGCCGCAGCGCTGCGGCTTTACTGAACGGAGCGAGTCTGGGCCAAGGAAATATGAATGCAAGGAATTTCAAAGTGCTTAGCCTGAAATATTTGGCGCGGTTAATTGAGCAAGAATGATGATCTTTATCTTTCTGAACATAAACTTGATGGCACAAGCAAAACAGATGATTACAATTTTCTCAGATTCCGTCAAAATTCATAAGATCGCTGACTAGTTTTGCAAAATTAAAAATTCCGGACAGATATAGTGTTGGTGTTTTGGAAAACAATTCATTACCCCGACTTTAAGATTACAGGAACAAATTGTACTATGAACGTGGAAATCTCCTCGTTATTCCTGCAGGCTTGGGTTTCACAGAGAAAACTACAATGCTAATTTAAATTAAAAAAATTGAGAGAAGCTATCTATCATTTCTAAATAATGGTCTGTCTATAAACTCATCTGACAATTAATCCGTATCTATGATTTGTCTCGCGTTATTATCTGGAAGGTTAAACACAATTAATTCTGTATTCGCTGAATTGAGACTGTTTTTTATCAGTTTTAAATGAAGCCTTTTCCTTTTCAAATAGTTATCACCTTTTACACAAAAATAATTATTTCTTTTATTTTGTTCAAACGGAGCCAAATATTATAGTATTTTTGGCTTCATAAGATAATGTTATAAACATTATCATATTCACTCACAACACATTTGTTGTTAGTTATGTTGAAAATCAATTTTTAATCGATTTTTTCAATTCGGAGTCTTTTTACAAAAGGCAAATGAGTTGTTTTATGAGCTGCTTTGTACGGCCTCATTCATCAGTCCTCTTTAACTAAAGATTGAATATTTTCTATGGAACATGGACAACATGGCTATTTTGAGTCCATTGAAGCTCAGTGTGATCAATGATATAATTTTCAACTTTCTTTCCTATTGTAGTATGGAGAGCAGGGATGATGGATTATGAATGGAATTTTCTCAACGACTCATTTGTTTGAGGAAGATTATTGGTAGAAGATCTGTAGGTATTGATCACGCCTCATTATGTCATTAACTGGTGAATATTTTAGATTTAGATTTATTTAGTCAAAAAATAAGAAAACTGTATGTGACGTAAGGGAGAGATCATCTGCCCACGTTTTCTTGAGTTCCAAAATCCCTTTTTTATATTTTAACCATAAATAGTTGAAGGACGAGTAAAAGTTTAGAAAAATAAAAAATATTTAAAAAAATCCGAGGATTAGCAACTTCTGAAAAACTTGATATTTTCTTTCCCGAGTTATAGAAGACTTATTTGCAACGATAAACAAACTACAGATTTGGTTTTTCTGCATCGCTAACAAAGTAGTAACTCACCCATAACTTTTACTCAATCGCTGACAGTAAAAGAAAAGTTTACTAAAACGTGCACATAGTGAAGCTATGTTTCATCCAGAAGCAAAACAAGGGGGCCATCTCAGCATTTGCTCAATATAGGCATGAAACTGGACAAAAATCTGATTGAGATGGGAGTCATTGACCAAAAAGCTCATGTACATTATTTGTTTCAAGCTTATTAAGTCTTAAAAATATACAATACAAACCTAAACAATTCATTATATAAACTGTTTTGTTAAAGTAAACATTATATTTCTTTTGATGATCAGTATATCCTCTGTTGTATAGAAATGTTATGCAGCAGACAACATTTTATTTTTGAATTAAATTTGTATTCCCACTTCAAATTTTTTAATGTCATCTCGCAATGCGTTGTTAAGTAACGAACATGTATGTGCATTTCTTGTTGTCAGCTGTTGATACAGACACTTGATGTACGTGATTTATTGTCGTGTGTTGTAATCTAAATATCAATATTGCTTGAAAATATGTTCACACCGTTAAGTAAGTCAATTTTGACAAATATTAAAGGTCGTAAACAAATAGGCCAAGGAAATGGTAAAATTCCAAGCTCAACGAAGAGAGGTTTGCAAAAATCACACAGATGGCGCTTTTTCATTATTCGAAAAATTTTCTTTTGCAATCTAAAGGTCTGGGTACTACATGATGTGCTTTTTCAGAATATTATGCATATTTCAGGCAGGAATGCACATTTGCAAAATACACGCAACGAGCTGCATGAAGGCTGACAAAATGTGAAAGAATTCTGAATCAGTAGCATAATGAACTTAATTTTGTGTTTAATTCGTTATAGGTTGACTGAATTAGAGATCTAGAAATTTTGGTTACTTTGACATCAACTAATTGCACATTGTTCATTTCAATGGTACATGCGAATTGCTTA